ATGATTAATTGAAGAAATAAAGACACTTCCATTTCTTTGAAAAGAAAAAGGTTTAGAGGAGCAAATGTCGGAGAAGGACATTACAAAAGATTTAATGGGGAGAAAGAACGTAGAAAGGTGAAGGCGACACGAACAAAAGAAAATAGGAAACTGAATGGCAAAATAGTGATAAGTAAACATAAAATGGTAGTGTGGTAACAACCCCACCCAACAAAAACTGACAAGTATATAATTAAAATGCACTTAATTAAGGGTATTGTAGTCAACAAAAGAAAAACGATGTGGCAATAAATTCATAATTTAAAGAATAATAATTATTTTGGAATAGAGTACTAGTTAGTGGTACTTATTAGCATTTTGAATTTTTTATTTTAAGTTATATGGTTTATTGGTTTAGAATTAAATGTATAAAATTTAAAATAATCATGCATTAGCAAGAGTATATTGTTCAAATAAAAATTAAAGTTTAATTAGTTAGTTGGGAAAAAAAATGCTTGCTAGATAGAATGTGAGCCTTGTTGGCAAATTTCAATAGTTGTGCCGAAAGTTCTGAGTTAATTAAGCTTCGAGTAATCTTGTTCACTTCCACTCGCACATTGCATTGTGTATGATTGAATCACTTTTTCCATGGGGGAATGGAAAATATTTATCAATAAGATAAATACGTAAGGGTTATAAACTAGCACAAACGAGAAATGCACCATAGAAGTATTTAGAGCAAATTATTGTTGTTCCTTGTAATATTTTTCTCCATTTTCCACTTTATGTTATTGTTGTATCTTGATTATAAAATCAATAAAAATAATGACACTAATTAGTACATCATCCGATTCAATGCACCATACAATATAATATATTTATTAAAAAATCATTATTTCCTTAAATAATTAGTGATCTTATTGAGGAAATATCAATAAGAAAATATAATCAAAATATGCATGAAAAACCTATACTTACCTTAAGACAATTCAAGCCTCTATAGAGAGTATAGATCTACTCATGCAATAGAAATATACATATCATGAGATGGGTTTAAGAGAGCGTAGTGAAGGTGAAAAACTTTTAAATCTCCTCTTCCAATCCAGTTAGAATCCTTATGAATTCATTGTCAGTAAAGGAAGGTTAAGATAAACACCTTAAAGAAGTGTGTGCCTCTTCGATGTGTATGTAGCTCTAATCCGTAATGTTTGCATGAAGCCTAGAGTCTAAAGGAGAACTCCTCTAATAATGATACAAACGTGCGCTTGGGAATTCAAAGAAGACTAGTTCTCCAAAAGTGCTGGCAAATGAAAACCCGGTTGAACCTCTTTTTTTTGTAGAAAATAATTTTAGTGGTTTAAAATTCTATGATGGAAAATTCATCATGGATATTTTATTTTCTACACTTATTTATATTAATAAGGAATAGGAAGATTTACTATTCTAATCCAATTAGAATTTCCAAACTTTTACTTCCATTCAAAGTACAAAACTTGACAAGAGAAAACTTTCCTTCCCTAGTTTGTATTTAAATGGGAATTTCAACTAAGGCTCCAAGCCCTTGATGCTGCCTACCCATAAGTCCTCTAAAGACTTAATCAGTGTTCTTAAAATCGGACTGGACCGATCGATTCGACCGGTTGAACCATCATCCGATTGCTGAAATGGGCTGGGTGGATACCCAAGCCCATTTTAGCGATCCAACCGCCCAAACCTGAGAAAACCGCTTGACTCACCCAGCCCGGTAGACCTGGTAAACCCGATGGGCGAATTCTCCCTGGAAGCTGCAACTTTTTTTTTAACCTTCCACGGTTGGTTCACACTTAAGATTTGATGTCTCAAGGATTCAAACACGTGACTTCAACTTTATACAACTTTTCAATAGCTTTTACCACTAGAGCATCACCTTTAGAATTGATTTCTTTGGCTCAAATATGTTTTTTATTATAAGAACATAATAATTGAAAATACCATTTAATGACTCCAACTCCCTTCAACTTTATCAACTTAGATATATTATCGATTTTTATATTAAAATTAATATAAAATTTATTTAATTTATATTTTAAATGTATAAATTAAAATATAATATATGTAAATTTTTATAATAATTTATATAAAAAATTATAAAAATTAATATTTATTTTAACACGATTAATATGTAGATAATTTTAATGAGTTAATTAATTAATTTAAAATCAACTTTTATATTTTTTATATAAATTATTATAAAATATATATTTATTTTACCCTTAATCTTTGTAAAAAAATCTCATTAATATATTATAAATTAGAAATATAATAATATAAATTTTTATATTTATTTATAATTAATTTAAATAAAAAATTATAAAAATTGACATTTATGTAAATAAATGATTTTACTTAATTAATTAATTTAAAATCAATTTTTATAATTTTATATAAATTAATTATAAAAAATTACATTTATTATATATTTAACTTGTATAAGAAAAGTTCATTAATATATTATAAGTTAAAAATATAATAATATAAATTTTTATATTTATGTTTAATTAATTTATATAAAAATTATAAAAATTGACATTTATAAGTTAAATGTTAAAAACATATTAATCAAAATTCATCAACTCTTGGGTTCGAACCCCATTCTCATCTTGAGAGATGAGACAGCACACCACTGGAACTATTGGAAGGGAGTTGTCAAATGTTGCACAACATTATATTTATTGATATCCATTAAACTGGTGGTTTTTACAATTTAACCAATTAAACCGGTCAAACCGAGACCCAGAGGTCAAAACAGTTTGACCTCCGGGTCGGTTTTCAAAACACTAGACTTAATTGCTACTTTTGGATTTTCTTGTCCTTAATTTCAAACAAATTCAAACTTGAATTAATTAAATTACTCCATAATGGAGATGCCAAAGATGTATAGTCACAAAATATACAAAATCAAATAATGTATAATGATTTGCAAAATAATAAATACAAATTACAAAGAATTTGAAAGAAATAAAAAATAATCTCTAATTTGGGATATTGCAAGTCACTTGCTCTAACATTAATGAGTGGCATGTCTTGGAATAGCACAATCTTATTATCGACAATTCAATAAAACTATAGATGATATATTTATGTTGCTCTGTTTGTGTTGCTGTGTTTGTGTTGCTATGAATTTCATGACTTGATGCATTCATGATCTAGATTCAACAGGAAGAAAGGGTTAAGAATCTGAAATTAGGAAAAGAATAAAGAGAATGATCTATTTTGCAGAGGAGAAGTTAGGGTTTATTAATGAAAATATTACTACGTCTTCTTAATTATATCTTGATCAATTTCATATATAAATGGTTGATTATGAATGAAGAATTTCAAGAGAAGGAAGATGATTTTTGGAGAGGGAGTTGAAAAAAAAAAAAAGAATTTAGATTTTTTTTTTTTTTTTTGCATGTAGAGAGTGACATGGAGGGGTATTATTAAATTCACATAAGCATCTTTACAGGGTGGAATTTCCATGTCAGATGTTCCTA